GCTATTTTCCCTACCCAAAATGGGCTGTCCTCAGTAAAACATCACTAAACCAAACTGCTGGTATTTTAACCCCACATATTTATTACTATACCCCATGCTTTGGCTTATCCTGAAATGTTCATTGCAGATCTACTTGACAATCCAAATATAATAGTACTTTCAAGTCACAAGCACTGTCTTTTCAAGGACAAAGTGGTTAAACGAACAAAAGCACCGGTTTTTTGTGGGGTTTTTTTTTTTTTTAGTACAACCTGTTTCTCTCTGAATCTCACTAAGAGTTTTACACATTCCTTTATAACAAAGAAACAAACATCTGGTCACAGGCTGACCAAGAATTATTTTCTTTAGTTTTTAGAAAAGGTGACTTCAGAACCCAAACCGATTCCCTGTGACTTCTAAGCCTTGGCTTTTGCACTACATACACCAGTTTCATTACGTGAGTCTGGAAAATTAACAGAAGTGCACTCTGCAGTGGTATGACATGTAGCACCGAATGACTTTGCTAAGTGTGGGTTAAAATGAGGAAAACATTTTGCTGGGAAAATGTAAAAGTGAGAAAGCAAAGTCAAAACATCCCTCCATTTATGTTTTAAAATCATGCAATGCTTGTATTTGAAAATAACAATAATAGAAGGCAGCACCTCAGAATCCCAGGGTGATCTGACATCTTCCTTTTCTTCGAATCTTAATGCTGACGTTGCGTCTACAAAATGCAGTCAAAGATACATTAATGAGAACACATACCACTGGGAAGTTTAAATATATATATAAGTCTATCTCGATTCCTGAATATGTCAATAAATTAAAGTGGCAGAAAAGAATTTCGGAAGGTTGAAACATTTTCTGGAAGAAAAGTTGGTCGCAGTTGGGGTATTTATGAAAGAAGATGGCAAAAGAAATACACTTAAGAAGAAATGGATATCGTATTTGGATCTACACACTTTAGATTTTTTACACTACCTTTTTTGTTTTTTTAATGGTGGTACTGGGAATTGAACCCAGGACCTCGTGCATGCTAGGCATGCGCTCTCCCACTGAGCTATACCCTCCCCCCTCCAACCACATTAGCTTTTAAGCAGGGAAGAAAATCCATAGATGCTCACTGAC